TTCAACCGCGAAAAAATTGACAGTGGGGCTCGTTGCGTGTTTCTCGCGACGAAGAAAAATCCACGTTTCGCTTCTTTCTCGTTTACTTTCCGTTTCTGTTTTCTCACTTTGTTTCGCTTGCTTCTTCTCATGCTCGTGTTTATTTACAAGGTCCGACAGTCTCGAACGCTAAAAAATATCCGAGATCGAGTTAACGTCGATCCCCTCCCATTCCCGGATCACCGAGCGCCTGAAATTCACAGGATTCCTCCCTCGAATCAGGAGGAGGCCGAGCCTCGCGAAAACTCGCGGGTCGACGGTTTCTGCGAACCGTAGAAAAATCAGGCGGAGAACGAAGGGTTGAACGAATCGGAATGCTTCGAAGTGTGATATGACTGCGCCACGGATTACCGAACGCTGTCGCACTCCCGCCGCGCCGGAGAACGTAGATCCTCGGTTTAGCGTCAGTATTCGATGCACTAATCCGTGGAGCACAGTTCGTTCGATACAAGATGCTCAACTCTTCCTCAGATTTCGACAATCGGTGACATCGAAACATCCGGACCGGTCCGGATACTTATAAATATCCTCAGCGTTCGCCTCACGAATGAAAAATTCTATTTCTTAGTATATAAAAACCGAAAGAACACGTTATTGTCGCAATCGTCGCGACTCGAAGCTCGTGAACGAAAGAGAACGGTCAGAAAGTGGTCAAAATTTAATCTTTCTTAGCCCCTAAAGGAGAAAAAAAACGTTTGATCTCAGGAATTCGACCCTACGCAGGGTCAAAGGTGCCGATTGACTCGGTTAATTGTCTCCTTTTGTTTTTTTTTCCAACACGCCACGGATCAGCGAACGTTCGTCCACCGCTTGTCGGTTCCACTCACGTTTCGCAACCCCGATCGCTTTGATAAATCTTAAAAAAGTTATTGTGTCCTCTTCGTCGTCTTCAACGCACTCCGAAGTCTTTGGTTCACTCTTCCCCTCGATGGGACGGGACGTGCTCCGTCCCCGGATTATTGCTTGCTTCGCGGACGATCGCTAATCCGTGGGTCGTCAGTTACTTTCGTTGAAAACACCAGACAGTGTAGTACTTACTTAATCGGATCAACGCAACCGCCGTCTGTTTAGCGCCGCTTTCATCCTAATTCGTTACGTATCAAATTGAAAACGCCGGACCACCGTCGTCCGGCCGATCTAGTCACGGTACAATTACGGACATACAATATCGATAAATATAATGTATATATTAATATATAAATAACACGATATTCTTTACACTAGAGTACAGGGTGTATATACATACATTACGCCCGGCTTAAACGTGCGCGCTCCGTCGAGTTCTCTGATTCACGAAAATCCGACGAATCTCGACAACTTAACGGGGATAGACGACAAATTCTGTTCGATTTTTACGAGTATTGGTAACCGTGACTTTTTCTTTAAAGAATCACGTTGACGTTGACCCTGCCGCGGTCTTCATTCCATCGAAGCGTTTGAAATATCATTGAAAAAATAGGACATACGTTAACAATGATTTTCTAGTGCTCCTCTGAAATTCTACAGCATTCTTAAAGAATAAAACGTAGTAAAATGGAAAACTGATCAATGAAGACCCGAACGTACAGGAGGGTTTGAATTTCAAATTCGTCGCTGCTCGGTTCAATTAATCAGATCCATTTAAAATTTACGCATTCCCCGGAGTCTCGGAAGTTGTATTTTTGTCTCGACGAACTTGGAACGGCGAATACTCCGAGAACTGAAAAATGTATAACTTTTCCTGTGAATAAACGAACGGATCCGGTATATTTTTAAAGGACACCGAGTCCATTTCTGCGTTTTCGACGAACGATAAGAAAAAAAGAAAGAAAGAAAGGAACGTATCGGATGTTCAACGTTAATGTCAAACATCCGTTTTCTACGATGGAATGGCGGCGCACACGCTTGAACCGGGCGTCTTGTACACGATGGATGGAGTCTTCGTAATAGTTTAGCGGAGCCATCGAAGAGCATTTTCCCCCTTGATCTCGAGCGTGTTAATCCCGATTCCCCGATCGACTCTCCGATTCGTCGACGCGTCGTTCTAGCGAATCCGTCAATGCAAAAGTAGGAAAATAGCGAGGGGAAAATTTGTTCGGCTCGCGGGCCCGGCCGTCGATCTCGATCTATCACGCGGATCGAGCCACCGGGTCCCCCGCGGGTGTCTCTTTGGTGAGGAGGACGGAGAGAAAAACGATAAGCAAGTGAATTGCCCGAAGTGAATTCAACCGATGATGCCCCATGAAAGTATACATGGGCTGTCCTGTTTCGACCGATCCACGCGATTGTCTCTCAGACTATTCGTTTGCGAGTTATCTTTTGGCAATCACATTCATCATCAACGATGCAGTTTCAAGTGAATTCTAATCCTATCGTGAATTCAAATTTCAAGATGGCGATTCTTGATTCTAGGTGGCGACGTAGGTTACGAGGTCTACGATTTGTTTAATGAAGTCCTTTGCACTTGGAGGTATTTCTTAGATCACTGGCCAGCGACTCTAACATTCCCATTCGGAAAGTAGTAACATAAATAAAATGATGTATTGGTGGGAATGATTATTTTGCTTGAAATTAATGATTGTTAATGAGATGTTTGGAGTATATTTTTAGAGTGATTAAATAAATAAATAAATAATGAAATAAATCGAAGAAGATAGTCGAGTGCAAAGGATATAATCTGCAGTCTAGTAAGTTCCATCTGAAACGTGTTTATATGAATAATGGATAATGAATAATTTGAGAAATAATTGCGCGGATTAATTGAAACGGGACACCCTATATATAGAATATAACATTAGCAGCCGGCTGACCAAATGCGACACGGTCATCGATCGCGTGGTGCCCACACACGTTGAGTCTGATCCAGATCATTTCATAATTAATTTATCTCGCCAGATCGTTAAGTACCGGTTCAAGGCTCCGGTTGCTATCCGTTTTCACGATGTCATTTAACTCCCGTATTTCGTTCGTGAAATACTTTCACTCTGAAGTTGAACGAAATTGAATTATTTCTAATTGCATTGAAGTACACGATTCGTTTTCAAATTTCTACGAGAATTTCTATTCTATCGGATTAATCCGAACAACGGCCAAGGATTAAACGTTCAACTTCGTAAATCCGTCTACAAAACTGAAACTGAGATTCTTATCGTTAATAAATCACCGATCAACATTTCGATTAATCATTACGCGTTATTTCCAAATCTCGTTTAATAGATCGTCGATTAATATTTAAATTAATCGCTACGTGTTACTTCCAAATTCCGTTTCGCCAGGTAGGCGAGTCGGTGCTCGCGCGGATATTTATGCAAACACAGATCCTTTCCCAACAGAAGCCGCCTCATCGAAGTGAGTGTTAAACACAAAACAAAGTATCTTATTCAAACCACCATTAACACATTAATTTCGCGATGCATCGCACACCGGCGAACGCTATACATACACAAACGTCCGTAGCCTAGTAATAAGGGATGAAAAAACGCGGCAAGCGAAACTGAAAGAAACATTCGTTCGTTCCATCCCCTAAGTACTATCCATCACAACAAAATAAAGTGTTTCCCACGAAAAAAAGCAGCATTAATCATGATAACAAAGAACAAGAGAATATCCATTAACTCACCCGTCATCTATAATATCATTCAGAACCAGTCTCCGAGCAACCCCATTATCCACAATGAAGCTGCTCCTCGAACAATAAGCTACTCTCACGAAATAATACCACGAATAATACATCCGACAAATTTGCAACGCAAGTAACATCTCCAATTGCAGCTCACAAATTCATAAATCATTCAAACTGAACCGGCAATCAGAGGACCGCTTGATAATCGCGGAACGGAGTTGCAAGTTTCGCGCGCAAACGGATAATCCGGAGCTCTGGCATCAGCTGCGATCAAACGTGCCCTCTGGATCCCCTGACCGTCGAAATTAGCTCCAGGGATTGAAAACGTTCCGAAATTAACTGTACGAAACTGTCATATACCGACTGAAACGATTACAGAGAACTGAAATAGACATAAAACTGTTATTAAATATATAGGTTTTGATCTATGTCGCTTTTAGTCCCGGTTCTTCGGGACCGATGTTATATTGGTTCTATAACAGCTACAAACTGCTATAACACTGAAAATAACAGTTACGCAACGGAATCAAAACCGATACAGCTGAAAATCGATACACCGTATATCAGCTGTAACTCTATTTTAGTCCTCTATAACTGTTCCAAGAACCGGAACTGACGTCACAACTGTTTTCAACCCCCGATCAGCTGCCACCCCGATGCCGTCTATCGCAACGAAACCGAGAACGCGTTGCTTCGATGTTATTGCCCTAGAAAATCGTTTCGAGAGCGACTAAATTCATCCCGGGTCTAGGAATCGTGCCGAGAATCCGAGACTCGTCCCGGTCCCACGCTGTCCCGTGGAACACCGTGTCTTCCTGTCCCGTTTCCCCCTTCTCGCGCGCAGAGGAAACGGTCATCCTAATTCGTTAGTTTTTTTTCTTCTTCTTTTTCATCATCTCAGGAAATGAGAATCGATCGTCGAACGATTGGCGCAATGAATCCATCGGCTTTGACCGGCAGCGAAGTCTCTAGGGTCGTGGATCGTTGGTCCAACGGCGTTCATTGCTGGTAACCGTTCGCCTGGGTCTGGCCCTCTTGGCTGTCTATACTGTAACCGGTTATGCTGTCCGGGCTTTGCAGGGAC